GAGCGGCGTCGGGGCCAGTAGAGGCGGCGCCGGGGCCGGGAAGGGCAGCTCCGGGGCCGCAGGGGTAGGCGACGGGGCCAGCAGAGGCGGCGCCGAGGCAGGGAAGGGCGGCGCCGGGGCCGCAGGGGTAGGCGACGGGGCCGCGAGGTCGGCTAGGAGGGGGGGGGTCGCGAGGGCGGCTTGAAGAGGCCGCGAGGGCGGCTAGAAAGGGCCGCGAGGGCGGCTAGAAAGGGCCGCGAGGGCGGCGTGAAAGGGCCGCGAGGGCGGCGCGACACGAAGGAGCCGCGAGGGCGGCGGATCGGGGCCGCGAGGGCGGCGCGACGCGGCCGCTAGGGCGGCGCGACGTGAAGGGGCCGCGAGGGCGACGCGACGGGGCCGCAAGCGCGACGCGACGAGGCCGCTAAGGCGGCGCGACAGGGTCGAGAGAGGGGAGCGCGACTCGGGCAGTGGAGAGCGCGCTCCGGGCAGGAAAAAAATGTGGTGGGCCCTAGGAACAGTTCCCACAGGGGAACCTGCTCGATACCATGAGAAACTGAACGAGAATGAATTGACTAAGGGAAAGTTGGGTACAAATGCAAACCCTAGAAAACTGTACCCCATATGTGCTACCCCACCATAGCCTACAGTAGCTATGTCATATAAATCTGACACTGATTTCGGTGGCATGCTTGTTGCCTTCAATAATAAGCGTGTCTCAGTCTCACAAGGTATACGATAAAATTCAGTTTGTTGTTTTGGAATACATTTTGATGCCAAATACATTCGCAATATGCTTTTACCGTAATCCACATTCGTCTCAAGCAACTTTCTATCAATCATTACGATCAATTCTTGGTGCTATTCCTTCGACTCGACATATTATGATAATTGGTGACATCAAATTTGATTTCAAAGTTTCTATGCCAATGCATTTGATCCATTTGATGGAGAATGCAAGTATGACTCAATGCGCCGAATCATCGACTGTTGTGCGGAATACCCTTACTGATCACGTTTGGCTTGATATTGCTAAATTTGATGTTGAAGTTATTGTTGGTGAATCATTTTTCAGTGACCATTTTCCTGTGTATGTATTGATCAAAATCACAATTAAGTGTGTTTCCCATACAGGCGGCTCTCCATATGATGAGGAAACACTTGCGAAGGTGAGAGTGTTTTGATTTGTGTTTTGTGTCGCGTCACTATCTTGTTAGATTGATATACTATCATTTCCCATTGTTTTATTTACATACTTTTCATCTCACACACTCCGCAACATACTCTCTATGCAATGCATGTTCTGTAAAGAACAGCCTTATACCCGTCCTGTTAGTTGGCTCGGCTAGCCAAGGCCTACCGAGTGCCTGGCACCCTGGGACCGCTGCTTGGGGGCCTCCTTACTCCGGCCCCTCACACGTCCAAGGCCGGCCTCCAGTCCAGGTCGTCTTCCAGGACCTGCCAGAGGTCCCCTAGGCGGGGCTCCCACGGGTCTGCTGGCGCCTGTGGGAAGCCCCGATCAGTTGCCCTGTTGGACATGGCCAGCAGGGTATTGGCCTGGCTACGCTGTAACATTACCGACCAGCGCTGCCGGTAATGCGCAGTGAGCTTTGAGGCAACCGTAGAGAGCCTTCCCTGTCTGTACTTTTTCTTGGCCGCCTGTGTGCCGAGGAGGCGGAGGAATCTCTGGGTGTCTTGTGCAAGGGCCTGATAGGTCTCTACCGCCAGGCATAGCACCCCAACAATTTCCGGTCGTCCCTCGTACAACCCCCTTTTCCCTCTTGCCGCATCCTCTACCGCCCAGCCTGGTCACTTCACCGCCCTTCTGTCGCGGCGCTGCAGCACTGGATCCATCACTGTGACGTCAGTCACCCAGGTTTCTGCTGACTACTTGTCCTTGATCACCAAGTCCGCTCACTTAGGGTTTACAATTTGCGAGAAGGCCGTGGTCTTATATACGGTCATGTAGTCAGCTTCATTGGCCATCTGTAGTGCCGCGTATACCAGGCTGTTGTGTGTGTTGGTCCTGTCCTTCTCTTCCGCGCACCGCAGCAGGTGGTTAGGAAGGCTCCGATCCTCTATCTTCGACCTCCTTTTTCCGCACGGGCAGTTGTCTGTCACTGCTATCGTCAGTCCCAGCCGGAAACCGAGGGCCATCGCAAACTGCCCTGGTAAGAACGTCAAATCTGCCCGCGTGGGGATGGCGTGGAGCCAATCCCCCGCTCCCACTCCCTGCAGGCTGACCAGTCAGACGGCGTGACCATTGTCTTCCCCTGGCTTGACGATCCGTGTGTCGTCGACCAGCTCTGCTGCTCGGTCCAAGTTGATATGCCTTGAGATTTGTTCCTGGAGTCGGCCCTTCACCTCTCCGTCTTGGTCAGCCGCCCTCAGTGATTCTCTTGCCGTTTCTAGAAGTCTGTTCCTCAGGTCTCTGATTGTTGTTCCTCCTTCCCCCGCGGCTTTGTCCCCTTGTGGTGACACCAGTGTCGCCACATGCTGTAGGAGGGTGTGCGCCGCCTTCAGCGAGGCCATGCCGCTGGTGCTTCCGAGAGTGGGTCTATGATACACAGGGCCCCCAGCGCATTTGGTAGTGCCGCCTGCCTCCACACTAGGCTCCGCTCCAGCTCTTTGTTCGGCGTGTGCGGGTGAGCCGTTTTGAGTGCCGTCCATAGGAGTCTCTCGCTCCACTCCCTCCATTCTCTGCGGGGGAGCATATCCGCTGGTGTTGCGCACAGGTGAGAGATGGACCGTGAGAGGAGAATCAGTGCGTGCTGCAGGTGGAGTTTGCTGATAAGTACCAACAGTGTCGCTGTTGATTCAAGTGTCCCCTTGATGGTGCGCTGGCAGAATGTCGTAGTGCAGATTGGGCTCCCCATAACTCATACCCCGTGCAACCCCAGGCTCAGCACCCCCAAGCTCAGCACCCCCAGACCCGGCACCCTCAGGCTCAGCACCCCTAGCAGCACCTGAGTCAACAGCTACCTCAACCGGCTCGACTGCGTCTACCTGAGACACACCTGAGGGGACAGGACCCTGAGGGGGGAGGGGGTCTACCGGAGGAGTACCTGGTGCGAGGAAGAGCGACGGGGGGGGGGAGGGGGGCAGTGCGGTAGGGGAAGAGACGGTAGTACGGAACCGACTCGTCAAACGTGACGTCCTGAGAGGACAGAACACGGCGCGAGGTGGGGTGGTAGAACTGCCAACCAGGCGCGTCAGGGGGGAAGCCAAGGAAGACGCAGGGAACGGCACGGGAGGACAGCTTGTCCGCAGACAAGTCGCGGACGAAAGCTCGAGATCCCCAGACACGGAACACAGACGCATCGCCAACCTTCCCCGTCCACCGCAGAGTGGGGGTGGTGTCCGGCATGGAGACCCGGGGCTGGAGGTTGATCTGATGCGCCGCGTACTGAACGCTGTCGCCAGGCCTTCCGGTAGTTGGCGAGGTTGCACCGTAGGCCGCGCTCGCCCAATTTGTCTCGTATCATGTTTAACGCCCTTGTTGCGTGTGCTAGGCTCCTTACAATTGTGATGTCGTCCGCGTGCGCCATCACAGTCACAGTTGGAAGTGCCTCCGGTGCTGCTAAGAGCGATGGTTGAATGGCCCCTGCGAAGAACATCAGTCCTAGCGGGTCACCTAGACGTACTCCCCACGCGCTGTCGATGTGCGACGTTTCGAACCCGCTGTCCAGTAAGAGCTTGGATGGTGCGCCGTAAAGTGTACGTGCCAGCGGCATGAGCGATGTCAATCTAGTCCACCGCATCGTTGAGAGAAAGCATCCGCGTTCCACCGAGTTGAGCGTGTTTTCAATATCAAACTGTAGGACTAGCTTCGTCGATTCTTCCGCCAGAAGCGCCCTCGTCGAGTGAATAATGCATTACGCTTCCCCCGGCATCGCTACCCCGAATTGCACTGGTAGAAAGTACACCCGGATTTCTCCCGCCAGTTCTTTTAGCGCCGCTTTGGCCGCCAGTCTTAGCAGCGCCTCTCCTATTGCGATCGGTCGGACGCCTCCCTCCGGCTTCTCCAAGGCAATTATCCTAGATGGCAGTAGTAGCTCATGTACTGGCTCGTTCTGGTACGTACTTAGTAGCCGGTTTACTACTTTGTGAAGCAGTGCGAATACTTCCCAGTTGGTTAAGGTTGGATCGCGTAAGTGCTCGAAACACATCCTTGATGGTCCTGCTCCTATCCCGTTTGGGCATTTCACCAATACCTTGCGAAACGATTCCGCACTGATGACGAGCGTGGATGTTGCATAACCGGTGAGGCCTTCCGGTATTGCAAAATATGGACCTGGGTGTTTCGAGCGGAGTGCCTCTAAGGTGGTCTGCAACGTCTCTGCTAGTGGAGAAGTGTGTAACGCCGTTGTTGCCTTTGCCAGGTAGCTTTCCGTACCAACCCTTCCGCTCTGGCACATATGCCTTTGGGGTCGGGTTCATGCCTGTCAGGTTTGGAATTTGGGGGGAAGGTGATGGCCTCGGTGTACAGTGCATCCCAGTCCTCCTCTCGGAATTTCCAAAGCCGACCCTCGACTGCTTGCCATCTGTTTCCAGGAGCTTTCTCCATGCTCGCCCGCAGTGTGAGTCTCGCGAGAAATTGCAAGATTCTCCACGCACCGAGGCAGTCCGGGTGCTTCGAGAGACGCAGTAGTGGTACGGTAATGCAGTGGCTGAACACCTTCAGAATTTCTGGTGGAAGCTTCCGCGCCAGGAACGGCTGGGCGCTGGCGCGCAGTGGGCCCAGATCCCAATCCAACACCCTTCACCACACGTCCTCATCCTCGGCAAATTTCATGGGTGCTCGCTCCTTGCTGGCAGCCTCGTTGGCCTCATGGGCTTCTGATTCGCCCACCTGTGCAGTTGCATCCCCAGTACCCCGTCCTTGAGGGCGTCCACGTCTTCTCCCCCCATCCCCTGTTGTGGGGACCCCATCCTCTGCATCAACAGAGACGTCCTCTGACTCTGCCTCTTGTTCCTCCATATATTCTGACCCCTCCTCCTCTCCTGCAGGTTCATTCGTTGGTTCAACCCCATTTTCCTCCGGCCTCTCGTGCCTTTCCCGCCAGTTTCCAAATCTGGCCTTCTCCCTTCCACCAGCTCACCCACGCGCCCGCCCCTGCCCGTCCTCGCCCGCGGCCTCTGGTGGCCGCCCTTGCCGCAGCGTTTTGCGGCTGTTGGCCTGCCGCTTGTTCGTCTACTCTCTCCTGCAGCGCTTTCTGCCGGATTTTCCCTGCTCTCCGCTGTCGTTCTGCGGCGCTCGCCGCCAGCGCCACTTCCTCCTCGTAGCCGTCGTCCCCTGCAAGCTCTTCCGCTCGTCGCTCTCCCTCTTCCTCCTCCTGTGTCTCCCGGCGACGTGTTGATGATGGGCAAACGTCGTCCCCAGCCACGGTAGGCGCGCGCGGTGGGGTAGTCTGCTGTTCCCAGCCCGCCAGAGGCCCAGGGCAGGCTCGCGCCAGTCCTGCTCTAAGCCGCCGCTGCCCTGGTTGAGCACGAAGGAGCTGGGACCCCTTTTCGACCCCGCGAATCTGTGGATCGCTTTCCTCGCGGGCGTACCCACCCTCATCTGAGGGCCCGTGGTGGTTCCTTTTGTCATCGTCGACCGCCTCGCCCTCCTCCTCCTCTCCAGCGGCAGGTCGTCGGCCCGCATCTCCAATCGCCCTCTCCTCTGGTATCCTAGCCGCCTCCTCAAATGCCTCTGCCAGTGCCGTCTCAGCAATCCTCCCAGCAGCAGTCGTCCGGTCTCGCCGCGTTGTCCCCTCAAATGTCCCAGCCCTCGCGTCAGTGCCACTATCAGCGTCAGCCTCCCCCCAACCCCTTCCTCTTGCGCCTCCTCCGACCGTGGAGTCCGCCGAGGCACAATCTCGTGCCTCCCTTCCCGCTCCTCCTCTGGGCCTTGCTATTCTGCCGCTTGAGCTTCCCCAGCATCAGCATCCGCTTGTTCCTTTGGACCCCACTCTCGTTGCTCGATTCCCTCCCCCTCGTGACCGATCTCCCGAGATTCTGCCCGACGCACCTGATCCTGAGGATGACGAGAAGTGGTGGAACGTTGAGACCTAGGAGTCTACTCCTCACGACGCACCTGATCCTGCGGATGACGAGAAGTGGTGGAACGTTGAGACCTGTGAGTCTACTCCTCAGCCCGAGACAACGTGGGGTCGGGACTGGGACATCCAGTCCGACTTCGTGCTTGACGTCCTCCGCTGGGAGCGGCGCATGATCGGGGTTGGCGAGTGTCTTTCCCACGTGGCGACGGTTCAGGAGCAGCTGCATGTAGGCTTGGAGGCGCAGAATTTCTTGTTGCGGGATCCCTAGCTGACGGAGCACTTTCAACGCCTTCTGTCCATCATTCAGCATACGTTGCTTTAAGTAGATTTCAATCCTCGCAATCTTTGTTTCGGGAAAACTTCTTAGAAGAGTCAAATACTTTACACAAAGAAGTGTTAAACGAGATGGAACATCTACGTAAGATAAGCTTTCCTATTATTCATGTTCCCTTTAACGTAATCGCATCACGTCCAGCACGTGCTAACTTCGTAATCCATAATGTTCGTAAGTTCAGATTGGACTGCATTTGTGACATGATGTTTATGAAATCATTTGATTTCATTGTGTTAATTGAGACGCACCTTTCATATGAGCAGACACACGGTGATGCACTAAATAAAATTTCTGTATGTCATCAAGATTCTGATTTCGGTGGCATGCTTGTTGCCTTTAATAATAAGCGTGTCTCAGTCTCACAAGGTATACGATAAAACTCAGTTTGTTGTCTTGGAATACATTTTGATGCTAAATACATTCATAATATGCTTTTACCGTAATCCACGTTCGTCTCAAGCAACGTTCTATCAATCATTACGATCAATTCTTGATGCAATTCCTCGACTTGATATATTATGATAATTGGTGACACGAAATTCGATTTCAAAGTTTCTATGCCAATGCATTTGATCCATTTGATAGAGAATGCAAGTATGACTCAATGCGCCGAATCATCGACTACTGTGCGGAATACCCTTATTGATCACGTTTGGCTTGATGTTGCTAAATTTGATGTTGAAGTTATTGTTGGTGAATCATTTTTCAGCGACCATTTTTCTGTGTATGTATTGAGAAAAAATCAATCAAGTGCATTTCCCATACAGGTGGCTCTCTATATAATGAAAAAGCACTTGCAAAGGTAAGAGTGTTTAAATTTGTGTTTTGTGTCGCGTCACTATCTTGTTAGATTGATATACTATCCTTTCACATTGTTTTATTAACATACTTTTCGTATCACATACTACGCAACACACTCTCTATGCAATGCATGTTTTGTAAACATCTACATATTCTCACAATCATCTTCTCATGGTTGCTTCTCTCTCTCTTTCTCTCTCTCTAATGGTCTGTATAGTGATAAGCCAGAAAGGTACACATATGCAGGATAGAATGACCCAGCACAAGCATGCAAAGCAGCAATCCTACCCTCTACATCCTCTAGAGCTTGAGGAGAGGCTCGATCACCGCAAAGCAGTCCCCGAGGTTCAGTTCCTGCCCTATACCTCCCACAGGCGGATTCTCTGCTGCCTCCGCCTCGCCCAACTTGAGTAGGAGTTCTACGGATTGGGCCCTCTGAAGGGACACCGACCATCTCTGCTTGAACTGATGCAGAAGCTTGGCGGCATGAAAGGATTTAGAGTCGGCGTTGAAGTGGCGCCGAGCCGCCGTGTCTGCTAGGAGCTTCAGGAAGACTGGAACCTCAGCGAATAGGCCGCCGTAAGTTTCTAAAGCTAGTGGGAAGAAGCCCACCGTCTCTGGTCGGTTGGCGTAGTGATTGAACTTTTTGTCAGCCTGCTCTCGTGCCGCCCATCCCCTGCCTCTGGATCCCTTGTGCTAATGGGGTCCGTGATGGTAACGCCTCAAACATAGACCGCCCCGTTGCTTCTATCCGTACAGAAACGCTAATGATCACGAGGCTGAAGTGCCTTGGTGAATATTTCAGCAGTGTTGGCCCGAGTGGCCACGTAAGCAAGACGAAGCTGACCACGCTGCTGCAACTCTCGAGCAAGGAAGTAACGCAGAGCGATGTGCTTCGTCCTGTGCTCCAGTCTGTGCTCCTGACACAAGGCAATCATGGCCTTGTTGTCTACGTACAGAACTGGAGGAGAACTAGGACGCTCTCCCAAGTCGGTCAGCAGGTAGGTGAGCCAGCGTAACTCCTGTGCAGCCATAGCCCCTGCTTAGATCTCAGCCTCACAACTGAAACTGAGAACAGAAGACGAGCGGGTAGACCGCCAAGAAACAGAACCGGAGCCAAGGCTGAAAGTGTAACCCTGTGACGACCGCTGCGTAGCCAAGTCGTCAACCCAAGACGCGTCTGCGTGGCTAGTGAGAACAACTCGACTCCGTCCTCCAAGCACGAGCACCAAGTGAAGCCGAAGCGCTGAAGGACCTGCTGCACCATGTGTGACTGAGTAAGGGTGATGGTGCGGCGTGCTCTCTCCCGGGTGATCTGCAAGCCAAGATAGCTGCGCAGCTCACCCAGGTCTGTGCACGCGTTTTCTTGTGCAGCTCCGACTTCACAAGGGCCAGTCCCTCAGCGTCAGCAGTGGCAAAGACCAAGTCGTCGACGTATACAAGGATGTAGAACGGCGGCAGCGAAGTGTCGGTGCGCAAAAATAGCGACGGGTCAGCAGTCGAAGGAGCAAACCCAAGAGCCGCAAGTGTCGTCCTCAGTGTGTCGTGCCACTCACGAGGCGCCTGGCGGAGACCGTAGACTGGCCGTCGGAGGCTCCACTGGGTACCTGCAGGAAACGACCCAGTGAAGCCAGGTGGGCGGCGCAGCCAGATCTCCTCGTGCAAGCTGCCCTGTAAGAAAGCTGTGATGAAGTCAAGAGAGTGAAGCTCCTAGTCACGCTGAGCGGCGACGTGCAGTAGTACCCGAAGAGTGGTCATCTTCGAGGTAGGGGAGAAGGTCTGGAAGAAGTCACCCTGTCACTGACTAAAGCCCCATGCAACATAACGAGCCTTGAAGGCAGGCGGAGAACCCGGCGGCCGCTTCATCCTGAAAATCCACATGCAATCGACTATGTTCGCCCCAGGAGGGGGAACTGCGTCGACGTAAGTGCCTGTGGACTTCCAGGATGCCATCTCTACGTCCATGGCTGTCTGCCACTGAGAGGAGTAGGGACCCTCTATCGCCTCTGCGTAAGAGCGCGGGGTCGGGATGTCTGGAGCATCCGGGTCTCCCTCAGGTGCAATCAGCATGGACACGAGATGAGGTACAGCAGCTGGAAGACACTCAAAGTCCTTCTGCCTGTCCTCAAGGACGTCCGTGCCAAGAGCACACTCACTCCCGACGGACGGAGGACAGAAAGACTCAGACTCAGCAACAAGACTAGCGGCGTAGTCGAGACGACTGGCGGCAGCAAAGTCAACAAGCTTAGCAACTAGGCCAGACGCAACAGTGAACTCAAACGAAGGGTCAGTGACAACAGTGGCTAGAAGACGTGTGACAGTAGGACTAGCAGCACAAAGTAAGTCAGACTCAGGGTCTGGTCTGTCAGCAAGAGAGGACGCAGGAGGAGACGGCAGGGGGACACGCTGTGGAACAGAGGAAGGACGAAGTGCCATATGGTGCGTGCCGGGGACAGGAGGAGGACGCTGACGCGGAACACGACGACCAGTGCGAACAGCGCGAACATGCGAGGCAGGACGAGACGCAGGCCCACGACGCTCTGTAAGGGAGTCTGACTGCTCAGTGTAAGGAGAAGGAGAAGGAAGTGGGGAGTCTGGCTGTAGCTGTGGCTACGACTGGTCAGGCGGTGGACACAGCAAGGGAGGAGTAAGGCCAGTAGAAGACGGGAGACTAAGAACCTAGCGAAGTGCCGAGCCAGGTGGCGGCAGAGACGATGTCGACGGCGGATAAAAAAACAGTCGCCGCTGCACAGTGCCTCCAGCACCAGTACCGACAGCTCCAGCACACCCCCAGCGCCAGCACCTCCAGCTCCTGGGCCTCCATCTCCAGCGCCTCCAGCTCCAGTGACTCCAGCTCCAGCACCTCCAGCACCTCCAGCACCTCCAGCACCTCCAGCACCAGCAGCACCACCAGCTCCAGCAGCTCCAGTACCACCAGTACGAGCACCTCTGGGACCAGCAGCTCCAGCACCTCCAGCACCTCCTGCAGCAGCAGCACCACCAGTTCCAGCAGCTCCAGTACCTCCAGTACAAGCAACACCGGGACCAGCAGCTCCAGCACCTCCAGCACCTCCAGCACCTCCAGCAGCAACACCACCACCAGCTCCAGCAGCTCCAGTACCTCCAGTACGAGCACCTCCGAGACCAGCACCTCCAGCACCTCCAGCAGCAGCAGCACCACCAGCACCTCCAGCACCAGCAGCACCAGTGCCTCCAGCACCTGCGCCTCCAGCGGCAGGGCCTCCAGCTCCAGCAGCGCGACTCCGAAGGCGGGTGCGCCACGCGTACCACTCGCGCAGTTGCTGTGGTGAGAGAGGCTCCCGCCGGCTAGACCGCTGGGGCGAGGCACCAGTTGGACCTCCAGGACTAGAAGCAATACCTTCAGCACCTCCAAGACTAGTAGCTCCAGGGCCTCCAAGACTTTGGAGCAGCGCCACTCCAAAGGCTACAGTGCCGAGCGTACCACTCGCGCAACTGCTGTGGTGAGAGGCTCCCGTAGTGTAGACGCAGGACCCCTAGGCTCAGCACCCCCAGACTCAGCACCCCTAGGCTCCGCACGTTCAGGCTCAGCACCTCCAGGTTCCGTACGCTCAGACGCAGCACCCCCGGGCTCTGCACTCGCAGGCTCAGCACCTCCAGGCTCCGCACGCTCAGGCTCAGCACCCCCAGGCTCCACACGCTCAGGCTCAGCACCTCCAGGCTCTGCACGCTCAGGCTTCGCAACCGTAGGCTCAGCACCCCCAGACGCAGCACCCCGAGCAGCACCAGAGTCACCAGTGACCTCGACAGGCTCAACCAAGGGGAGTGGGTCTACGTGAGACACACCTAAAGGAGCAGGACCCTGATGGGGGAGGGGGTCTACTGGAGGGGGACCTGGAGCGAGGAAGAGCGGCGGGGGGGGGAGAGGGGCAGTACGGTAGGGGAAGAGACGGTAAAAGGGAACCGACTCATCGAACGTGACGTCTTGAGGGGGCAGGACACGGCGCGAGGTAGGGTGGTAAAATTGCCAGCCAGGCGTGTCAGGGGGAAAGCCAAGGAAGACGCAGGGAACGGCGCGCGAGGAGAGCTTGTCTGCGGAGGTATCGTGGACA